TTAATTCTCTTTTTAGCAGCTGACTCCTTATCATAAGCATATTAATGAGACATTAATTATTACTTTGTGAGTCAGCAGTTATTGAGATCAGGGAGACGCATGACTGCAGTTAGCCTCGTTTTCAGTTTCATGCCAAGCAATGCACAATCTGCTTAGTGACCTTCAGATTGTAGAATGAAAAATGTACTTTTAGCAAACGATAGGGAAATTAGCCAAAAAAAATCATTATCTAATTGTTGCGTATAAGCCTAAAGATTTCACAACAAGAATCTCGTCCAGTTGATAGCCGCGTTACAAAAGATAAATTTAACGTCCTCCTGGATATATTGAAATCGCTGTATATAGACCCTATCGGATGTCGTTCTGAAGTATTGGATATCAAGATCCGCAAACAACTAATACAGTGAGCTTGATTAGGAATCAGTGCCTCACACTTGTAGAACAACTTATATATATATATATATATATATATATATATATATATATATATATATATATGTATGTATGTATGTAGAGAGAGAGAGAGAGAGAGAGGTGGAGAGAGAGAGAGATGGTGGGTGTATATATGTTTGTGTGTGTGTATGTATTAGGTAAAGCACGTCGGATATAACGACGGCTTCTCCAGCAAAGGACGACATAAGTTCGAATCCTACCGGAAGTTGCATTTTCAGTATCAACTGAAAATAACGTTTAAAATAACACACACACACACACACACACACACACACACACCTATTAATGACCTCTATAATATCCGGTATTAAATATTAAAATTAAAATCCGATATCAATTATAGGTTTTTATCTATAAATCATTAATGGAGTGTGTGCCAAAAATGGGACGTTGGGCATTAATGGTTTAACGCTGATGTTACAATGCATTATTATCAGCATCTTTTATTGTACTACAGTCCGGCAGAGTACTTTGATATAAATGTACATTAAGATTTCGATCCGCTATAACAATGTTATAGTGGATAGTGGAAAAAAAAAACAACAAAATTGATTATCTAAGAGACGAAGGCTCATTATAAGTAGTAACAAGTGGGTTTCACTTTCCTCAAACAAATCCCGACAGGAAAAACAAGTTTAAAAATCTCACGTATGAAGTTAATCCAGAATGAATTTAATTTTTCATTAACTTTTTTTTTTAAAACCGAAGGAGAAACACAACAAGTTTACCTGGGTAACTAAGCTTAAACTTTTGAAAGATTCCCTGCGTTTATTGAACACACAGTTTAAAAACGATGTAGTTTAAAACCATTTTTTTACTATGAAAATATTTTGCAAGATTATTAGTCTGAGAACTTAGTTCCAATTCCAGTTGGGTTCGTTATAATCACATACGCGCGAATGCTCTTGGGAAAGCTATGAATTGATATCTTCTTTACTCCAGCTATGGGTTAATTAGTAAATAAACACTACAATCTCCCCCATCAATTCTCACAATGTACAAATATTATCTGGTTAAATAAACTACAAAATGTTGGAAAAACCGTAGAAAACGAATCAATATATATATATATATATATATATATATATATATATATATATATATATATATATATATAATAATTTATAATTTGTAAGGGTAATTCTGAGATGAGATCTCAATGTAATATTGATTTTCAAGCTGTTTCTTCCTTTAACAATATATATATATATATATATATATATATATATATATATGTATGTATATATACATACATATATATATATATATATATATATATATATATATATATATATATATATATAAAGAAAAAAAGAAATTTCCTTATGTAGATCAAATTTCCATAACTGTGGTACAGTATTGAAAAAAGACAATGTAGCTAAACATACACACACATCTATCTTTCTATGTATCTCTCTCTCTCTCTCTCTATATATATATATATATATATATATATATATATATATATATATATAGGTCATTTCACCCCAGACAAGGCAATAAATCACCTCTCTCTCTCTCTCTATATATATATATATATATATATATATATATATATATATATATATATGTAGGGTCATTTCACCCCCAGACAAGGCAATAAATCACCTAGTATGCAACGTTGTTAGAGTTCATGAGACAAATAAATACTATTCAGGAGATTGAACAATAAAATAAACAAGAAGATAATGATTGACATTGCATTTAGATTTTTGAAGCCCGAATTTGGCTGGGAAGTAAGAAGCCAGAAGAGATTTACACAAGCAAGATTTATGACAGATGAAACTGTCAGCATAGAACTCATAGTTGCATCTGGAAATTTCAACTCTTCAATGATGAGACTTTGTTGCCAATCTAGTTCTGCGCTTAAAATCATAAAGTCTAGTTACCATAGAGGAATATTCATCTGAACTATTACCATGAAATTATTTATAGAGAATCCACTGGAAAGCTAAATTGCCACAGTGGAGGGAAAAAAAAACTGAAGCCAAATGAGACCTTTCCGCCATTGATAACAGGGAGGATAAACTGAAATGTTAATTAATACTGTACGTTTCTAAAAATAACAGGTGGTGTAGCATTTATGGTGGCATTGTATTTAAGTAATATCCCTTACCAACAGGCTAGTCGTCCTGCAACTGTAGCTCCGTGTCAACCAATGAAACGGCGCAGGGTTTCTCATTTCTTCCATTACGATGTGTGTCTGTATTTTCAGATTCAGTTAACTTGTTTTACTTTCACTACCTTTCTTTTCTCTCTGGTTGAATCTGCCGGTGATTTAAACGCTTATTCTTTTCTCTCTTCCCGCTTCCCTCCCCTCTCTCTCTCCCATATATATATATATATATATATATATATATATATATATATATATATATATATGTGTGTTTGTGTGTGTGTGTGTGTGTATATGTATGTCTGTATTTCTAGCGTTCTCCTAGCAAGATGTTGCTTGCAGCAGCCGAACTAACACTTAAAATCGGCTCACCGATCACATCTTCTAGCAACACAACTCGAGAAACTACCAAAAACATGAAAGTAGTAACAGTAAAGAAAACTGAAAATGGCTTCTTTTGCATCTCTTGAATTAAAACCCGACAGCAAATGTTTACTTTTACTTTCACTTTCACTTTCATTTTTACTATTCCGTGTCAACATTGTTCAACCTCAATCGATTTTCTATTAATATATAGAATTTAAGATCAAATTATTTACTTTTTGAACATCTTCAATGAGAGCAATAGAGTGGTGTATAACCTTTCACTAAGGACACATTAAATAGCTTTTTCTAGTATGTGTTAATAGTTAACTCATACTGAAATAGGTTATTTAATGTACACTTTATAAAAAGTTATCTCTGAAAATGTTTAAACATTTGGTTAATAGAGCATCTTTAATGGAAACCAAGACATAATTGTGCGAAACTTGGCCAGAATTCTTAGTCGTGCTTATCACAAGTAAAAATGATTAATAATAATGTCTGACATTTTTATTTAAGCTGTAACATTTGAAATCAAGTCATAAATTTTGCCATCTTACTAGATTAAAATGCATGTAACTGAACCGAAAATTGCTGTATGAAACATTTTAGGAATCAAGTTTATTAGAGTGTAAATGATTGATAGAATATTTTCTAGATATAATAAACAAATTTCATTTTGTGTGTGTGTGTGTGTGTTTGTGTGTGTGTGTGTGTGCGTGCCCGCGCGTGAGGGTATTATAGTTTTTGACCTACTTTCAAAACTGGTCAAATGACTAAATATTAGTAATTTTTGTCCTCCTTCTTAGTGTGAATGAACTTTTATCTCTCTCTCTTTCTCACCGTATATATATATATATATATATATATATATATATATATATGTGGAGAGAGAGTGTTTGAAAGAGAGAGTTTGAAAGAGAGAGAGAGATACCTTCAGATAAAGACACACACACACACACACACACACACACACACACACACACACACACACACACACACGTTTGCAGTTCAACCAGCATCAGCAATTAATTTAATATTTTTACCATAGAATTTTATTGTTATTAATCAGAATTAATCAGAAGCATTTTAATAATAAATTTCTGGACTGTTGATTGTTTTGTCTTAATTGTTATTTTAATTTACTGTATAATCACTTTATTGCCACCCTGTAAATATACCGACTCGGCAACGTGGAACCTCCTGATCGAACATTCTTCAGGCCGTCTTGATTGGTTTGTCAAATTCAGTGTGATGCTTCGCGCAATTTCGCTCTCTTTTAGTCTTAAATTAAAGGCGTAGGGTCACGTGTGCCCCAGGGGTTGGTTTTCAAATGAAAGCCTGAATATTATATGTTTATTTTCAATGCAAGTAAGCACGATCTCCGAGAAAAAAAAAAACTGGCTGAACATTATCTTCTAAAATCTGCACGAAGTCTCACCAGAACAAGATCACTGTGGCAATATTGTTATCAGTCAATTTATGTATGCCTAAAACAGTTCGATTTTGCGTCAAATTACATCAACGCTGTCGTTATAATAGAAATATTCAGACGGGCTTTCTATCTCTACGTGTCAAATATTTGCCGCTAAATAAACATCCCTCCTCTTTTTTAATACTTTGTATCCCCTAACCTTCCCAGAACTTATTATATAGCTTCTCTGTTTAATCGATGATGGGGAGAAAACTGCGTGTCAACAAGACGAGGAAAATTAACATTACAGAAATATTGGCGATTTCATTTTGTCGTATTGCTATATGTTATTTATTTGTTGTCCATTGATGGATATTTATTTATATGGTAACGTTGGCAAGGCTTCATGGAAATATTAGCGATTTTGTTAAAGAGTTTACCTTAAAACAGGCATTACTTTTTAAATTTCTTTCTTCGAAAGACTTAGTTTGAATCCTTTTCAAACCAACCCGTTTATTGAAACCCCATATTTATTACATTTTCCTGTTTCCCTACTCCCTGTTTATTACGACCTACTTTTTAGTTGGCTCTCGAGAATACCGATGTTCCTCTGTTGTCTGCATCTATCTATGCCTCTTGGTGCGGATACGAAGCTTGCGGTCATGTTACGTTGAAGCACCGGTTCTCGGATGATCAATAAAGTTAAGCAACGTCGAGCCAGGTCAGTACCTAGATGGGTGACCGCTTCGGAATACCAGGTGTTCTAAGCTTGGATGTGCGTATAGACAACGGCTCATAATTGGAAATCGGGAAGCAGAGATCCAAGCAAGTCGCGTTCATTATATTCCCTTACGCGCAATTAACCTTCGGAAAGGAATGAATCTACGTCTTCTCTCCCCAGCTATGGGTTAATTAGTAATACTTTTATCAGTAAAGTCATTATTATCTCCAAAAAAAATTCTTATAATCTAAAACCATCTCCTGGCTTTAAATAACTTACAAACGGTTGATAAACCGTAAAAAAACTGATAAATGAATGAATTAATCAACCAATCATATGAACACAGTGTCAGAGGAAACAGAGAGGTAAAATTAATCGTGTGCGCACATAAATGCATTTGTAGTTACGTAAGTGCTTCTACAGAAGGTTACTAAAAATTCTATATATGGAGCGTGTAAGCAACGAGGCAATCTTTAAGAAAAATGCAACAAAACTAACAGTTGTGTTCAGAAGCAAGAAGTGATATCTGAAATTCCTTGGAGATATAGAAAGGTGGAAGGAGGGCTTGAGTAACTTAACTCTCACAGGGCACAAAGAGATAGTGTGAGGTATCTACCTGACGGGCTTGTGTAAATGGATGGCGGATCGGGGGTCGACCATATCTTGAAGAGACACAGAAATTGATCGATGGTAAGAAAGGAAGTGAGAATATATATATCTTGGATAGACTTCAAATTTAATAATCGTCATTTAATATATATATATATATATATATATATATATATATATATATATATATATATATATATATATATATATATATATATATATATATATATATATATATATATATATATATATATATATATATATATATATATACGTATTTTCAATAAACAAATTTATTTTGAATGTAACGATAACCTGATATGGGCACCTCGAGGTGGTGTAATGGTCAGTAAGCTTGTCTCGCTAGAACAATTACGACTGAGTAGTGAGTTCGATTCTCGCTGGGTGCCGCCCCCCCCCCTAATTTCGGCCTTGTGCTACATCTAAGCTGTGCTTGAAAAATCACTAGGGCACCTCAAGGCGGTGTAATTGTTAAGAAGCTTGTTGTCGCTAGAACAGTTACGACTGAGTGGTGAGTTGGATCCTCACTGGGGGCCGCATACTTTCGGCATTGAGGCCACATCCGAGCTACGATTGCAAAATTGCTAAAGATAACCTGTTTTTTTAATACGTTATCGTTAAATTACTACAAAAATGTGTCTCATTAATGACGACGCTCTCTTTTAGATAAATTTCCAGCAGTTTATCTGTCGGAATATGAAAGGAAAATTGAGACTTGTAGAGAGTGAAGACTGGTGAATAAATTGGGATTCGTGAATCTGAATAAAAAAACACAAAAAAAATCACTCTTAATGGTTCATTTACAGCTGATGAACGATTAGTCATAAGCTATGAAAAATTCACGGTTTGAATATACTTACGAATCTTAATTTTTAAGCTAATGATTGAAAAAGCTCCACACGGCTACAGAAAACGACCCGTACAAATTCCTCTATTGCGTCGTTAACCTCATCAACTTCAGCAAATATTACAGTAACTATTATAAAAATGAAGGCAGGTCGTTATTTCAAAACGTAAGAGGGGACAAAAGAAAAAAAAATAAAGGTTAAAGATTTTCAAAATCAATGAAGCAGACGATAAAAAATGAGAGCGTTATCACCACCTCTATATTCTCTTTCTTTCTTGCTTTCTTTTTTATTTCATTCCTTTTTTTTAATTAATTCTTTTCCGTAAACCTAAAAGACGGTCGTACTATGTTTTATCCCGTCTATTCTCGGAATCAAACAGTAATAGCCTATTTTTTTATCAGCGGCCATGGCGAGGTGTAACGTATGAGCGGACGAACCAAGGAACAAAGGAAAAATTGAAATTATGACGTACTTGTGATATTTTTTAAAAATATCGAAGGACGATAGAATTAAAATGTATTTAGGATAGATGCTCAATAGCTTTTTAACATTCCAGCCGGCCATTTTCACGAATTAAATTGCTTTCAACAAACAACAAGTGTTGCCAGTGCCTGCTATTCTCAAAGACCGCCCTTACTGTAATTCGATCCGCAGTTATTGTTTTACTAAAGTGGCCTACTATAAAACTAAGCTGATTTTTGCAATACAGGGTGATTGAAAAGTAACACCCCTATTTCATGTATGATGGACTCTCCCGTCTAACTATATTTTTTACAGAACGGGATGGTCCATCATCCATAAAATAGGGAATTACTTTTCAATCACCTTGTATAACTGGAGAACGTCTGCCATAGAGCGATATTAAACGTCACACACTTTCAATATTATAATGAACGCTAAGTGGACGCCTCGAGGTGGTGTAATGGTTAGCAAGCTTGTCCTGCCAGAACAATTGCGACTGAGTAGTGAGTTCGATTCTTACTGGGTACCACTTACTTTCGGCCTTGTGCCGCATGTAAGCTATTCTTGAAAAATTAATATTTGGGTACCTTGATCCGGTGCAATGGTTAGCAAGTGTGTCTAGCTAAAACATTTATAAATGAGTAGTGAGTTCGATCTTCACTGGGTGCCCCATACTTTCGGCCTTGTGCCACGTCTAAGCCGCGCTTCGAAAATAACTATAATGAATTCAATCTCCATGATTGTTTTAATGCGATGGTTCTGTGATTTTTGACACCTCTCTTCAGGACAGAGACGATCATCTCCACAGCTTCCTTTTTCTTTTACGTCTGTGAACTGCTATGAAAGGTAATGGAGTAGTTTCTCGTCGCCTTTTTCACGGTTTGCATTCAGAGTTTGGTTTAAAACCGTGGAGAAGGCGACAAGAAACTACATTATCTATTATATTAACTAGTTTTACTGTACGATTTAACCCATAGCTTTCAAGATGGAGAGAAGATATGCGAATACATGTCATTCTCAAGGACGTTAATGCGAAAGCGAACGCAACAGAAGTCGGAATTTGAACTTGGTTCGCAGATTGTTTTCTGAGCTGATAACGACTACATTACCCGATTGTCCTAATCTAAGCTTGGCAAATATTTAAGATCAACGGGTTGCAAATTCGCCTTACAAGCAACTGTATATACAGAGAGTTCGATCTTCACCGGTTGCTTTACGATTAGGAATTTGTGCTAGTCTAATCTAATTTGATTGTCGGGTAAAAACTATTCATGTAATGTTTAAATAATGTAGCTTTGTACCAGATTAAGCATAGTTTAATCTATACTAATAATTCACTTAGTTAATACTTATAAAAAAAAAAATGAACTAAAATTATACTACAAGGAAAAATGGATTACGTTTAGTGCTGATGTAACTACAATAAATTTTATCGGCCTTTAGACAACCTGATGACATTAAAAATTGCTAAAAAGCAGCTATAATTATAAAATAATTATTTTACGATAAGGAATGTCTCTCCAACTGTAGAATAGATGAGGGAATTTTTTTTTGCTAATTTCATCCTACAATCTGAAACGATTTCTACACATATTTTAGAATTTACTAGAATAGTTCGTAGTAAAAATTAGGAAGTTATGAAATAAAATAAAGATTATATTAATATTAACAGTCTAATCAGTATCTTTAGAAAATATATATATATATATATATATATATATATATATATATATGTATATATATATATATATATATATATATGTAATTCAAATCTTTAGAGAATATATAAGTTGAAACAGGTAGAAGCTGAACAGTGTGAAGCAGACAAAAAGACAGACTAATTTTAGGAAATGCATATATTTTAAAGAATAAAAGCATCGCCCGAATTTGTCTGGATTTACTTATATTGAGAAAGCCTTTCTCTTAATAAGTCTATGTTAATTTCAGAAAGATTGATCACTTCGGCAACTTAATTCTCTACCTAATTCGAGATCCAATTCAAAGTTTGAACGTTGAGGACTTAACAGGAAAGACAATGCGAACAGTGAGAAGGCAGATGGATTTGGGGAAAGATCAGAAATGTATTTAATTTTTGGAAAAGAAAAAAGGAAAAAATAAATATTACTTATTTTTTTTTTTAAAAAACTGAAACCAAAATGATTTTCTGAAAGAGAAAAGGAATTTGGAATTATCAGGAAACGAAAAGAATTGTTGAATGGCATAAGAGTTCGATGCAACAAACGAATATAATTTTACAAATGCTGTCTGAGAAAAAGTTACGAAATTAAAAATTCATGATTACAGCAATGAGAATCTAGACAGAATCTTGCTTGTGATCACATGAGGAATATATTTGAATATATATATATATATATATATATATATATATATATATATATATATATATATATATATATATATATATATAGTGATACTCGCTTGAAAAACCTTAGGTATTTCGGCTTGTAGTAGAACAAACCAATACCCAAGGAAAAATGAGGAATAAAAAGAAAATACAAAAAGAAAGAACTAAGAACATGAAATTGAGGCGAAAAAACATCGTCCAGAATTCAAGCTCAGAGTCCAAAGAAAAAACCTCCAAAACGAGTATAAGTAACTACGTAAAGTGCTCAATAAAATTATTATTATTATTATTATTATTATTATTATTATTATATATATTCAAGAATATGACGTCCATTGATAATGGAGAGAAAGATATAGGAAATTTATGAGCATAGACTGCAAAGAAGAAGAAAACGATTTCAATACAGCTAATGTTAAATATAAGGTTAATATTGAGGAACGAAAAAAAAGAAACAAAATTCTATTCGTATTTCTGTTAGCAGTTGCATTAGAATTTTTACCCTATAAATCTGTTGAACTTGAAAGTTCTATTGCTGCTTATTGCTATATACATTTGAAATAAATTTATCCGAAATCATCACGGCCTTCCTTTACTTAATCGCCAGTCAAAACTGGGGAAAAGGTGTGAGTGAAAGAGAGAGAAAAAAGAATTACAAAAATATTTAAAATACTCGCGAAGGGAATGTTGATTGAGTATGGAGTGGTTGGGGTCGGAGTGGAAGCAGACTGTGAATATCGTTAGACGAGAAGGGCGAGGGCCTTGCCGACATATGAAATATTTGCATGAGAAGAATGCAGAAAGTGAAAGTGAAAGTGAAAGTGAAAGTAAAATTTCGGAAGCAATAAAATAAAATAAATCATTGCATTCCTGCAAACAGGCGCTCTATAGTAATATTAATAGACTGAACTATATCTTCAGAGAATATACCTAATACGGGCAATGGCTGAATAATGCAAGAGACACTGACAGACAGAAATACTAAATTTTTGCAATCTAGATGCTTCAAAGCCAGAAACTATCGTACGATTCCTGTATGCAATCAATTTTTCATACCTTTATCGGAAATATTTTAAGATTAGTGGAATTTTTTTGACATAGGCATATAAAAAGATGATCTCACCAGTGTGAGGAAAGATGTCCATCCATGTTATCTTCTTAAGGATTTTCCTTCTGTCAATTTTGGATTTCTTTTTTTTTTTCTCATTCTGTGCCATTCCAGGAAGAACTGTCTTTTTTTTTTTTTTTAAATATAATGCATAAATTTAACTAATTTCCAATAACGTTCTTGCTGCATCTGATACAGGTTACCGGTAAATTATAAAATCAAGGAAATTGATGAGATGAGCGAATTTTTTTTTTTAAAGGTATCTTCACAATAGCCGTAGAATGATTCTGCTGGTTTGTGTAGTTAGATATTAATTTCTAATCAGTACTGCAACTTTGGTAAGCGATAATTAGGAATGTAGAAGAATAATGGCTCTCAGGGAATTGCTTGCAATTGTAGTTAATCAGTCACTCTGGTGTTCTTTCTTTAGATCTGTGCCTAGAACTCTTGGGGAAAATGCAAGCGAGCCGCTCGATGTAAGCTGGGTTAGGACTCGATCAGCCATGAACGATTCAGGAAAAAAAAAATTGCCATCATTGCCAGTCCAGTCCAATTCAGTTTTCTGCCGAGTCGACGACATAGTAGTCGCATTCGCAGGCGACTATTAGCGTGAGACAGTGAGCGAGAGACGGAGGTATGAAACGTAGCAAGGAACGATGAAAGAGAGTGTGGTAGCTACGCCGATCGAAGTCATCGACAACGAATGCATTTGATGTAAAGGTTGTTGCTATTGCTCGCTTGCTTCGGCTTCATCGCTGTTTGCAGTGATAGTGCCGCTGCTGGTACTGCATTTCACTTCGCTTTTCCTGCTTTTCCTTTTTTTCTCTACTTCATTACCATCTTGCTTTCCCCGGCTTCTGCCGGCGACGTCGATAGCGTCGCTACCCGTCACGGAATGAGGAGTGGGAGTCGATGCCAGCAATGGGTATGGAGAAAGGAGGAAGAGTGAGAGTAATGAGGGAGACAAGCACAGTGTGGTTGGTGGTTGAAAAAAAAGGAGGGGGAGGAGAATGGAGAGGAAGAGTTAGAGCGTTGCAAGAGAGTAGGAAGAAAGAGAGGGAGGAGAGTGGTTGTTGGAGGTGGAAGAAAAGGATATGTAGTGCAATGCGAGAGTTGTTGCGGTAGTCGTCTTAGCGAGTGGGAGGAAATGGTGGTCGATGTAAAGGGAGGGAAAAGAAGGAGTAGGTGGAAAAAGAAACAGAGACGAGGAAGAGGAGAAGGAGAGGGAGGAAGCAGGAGGAGAAACAGAGAATGGTAAATGAAATGATAAAAATAGGAGGTTTTAGCGTAACGGCTAACGTGAGAAAAGATGGGAGTTGCGATAGGAGGAGAATTATGGAGAGAGAGAGAGAGAGAGAGATAGAGTGTGACGGGGAGAGTGTGAGTGGAATGATAGTAAGAGAGAAATATATATATATATATATAGAGAGAGAGAGACAGTGAAAGAGTATGTGTGTGTGAGAGAGAGAGAGAGACAGAGAGCGACTAAGAGAATATGAGTTAGATAATAGGGAGAAATATATATATATAATATATATATATATATATATATATTGAGAGAGAGAGCGACTAGGAGATGCGAGTGAGATGTTAGACAGAGAGACAAGGGTATATATATATATATATATATATATATATGTGCTAAGAGAGAGAGAGAGAGAGAGAGATAAGGGGAAAGAGCTATGCCGGTTTCTGAAAGAGGAGATATCTTGCTGAGAATTAAGCGATTGACTGCCAGACAACTTCAGAAACAATCCTTTTCTTCGAAACCTAAATAAAAGTTATCCGTATTATTGCATGAAAGAAAAAAGCTATTGCGATATATATATATATATATATATATATATATATATATATATATATATATATATATATATATTAACAAAGGAAGCGAATATTTAAGTGTTGATCATTGTCCTCTGGAGAAAGCCATAGTTAGCATTGTCGAAAGACTGACTTACGAGCATCAAGTAACGTATGCGCTGCAACGAAAAAATAAACCTTGAACAAATCTAAGAACCGCGTTAATTGATGTTTATTGTAAGACATTATTTATTATCGAAGATGACATTAAATAAAAGGTGTTCTTACGGTTTTGGGATTAACCTGTAGTTTTATGCAAAAAGATCTGCTATATACACCTGTTCAGTCATTGCTGCAGCTATATTACATTATATGCACGCACGCAGGCAAGGGTGAAAAAAGCCTACATTTAGACAAAGAGACAACGTAGAACAT